CTGTAGAGTTAGATGGAGGAGGTAGCTATTTTGTAGAATGGATATACAAAGAGGTTTTTCAGAGAAACAACAGATTTCCCCTTGCAGTGAGGAACCTACTGGCAATTAGGAAGGATGGACTGGGATCCTCTTGAGGTGACTCGGGACTGGCAAACATGTTCCAGTCTTCCTGAAACCATTGTTTCCTTCCATTCAGTGGGAAAGTGAAAGTGAAAGTCACTCAGTCATGTCCGACTCTTTGTGACTCCACAGACTATAAAGTCCATGGAATTCTCCAGGCCGGAATACTGGAGTGGGTAGCCATTCCCTTCTCCAGGGGATTTTCCCAACCCAGGGATTGAACCCAGGTCTCCCACATTGCAGGCAGATTCTTTACCAGCTGAGCCACAGGGAAGTTCAGTGGGAAAAGGACAAAGCTAAAAATGAGAACAGAAGGCAAAGGGAGAAGTCTCTATTTCTTACAAAATAACCGAAATTTAGCAAAGCATCTCAAAAAGTCATAAATTTTTAAGTTGTTGCCTTTAAGCAAAAAAAAAAAAGTAATAGCCTTTACTAATTGAAATAAAAAATAACGTATTTGTCATTTTTTTCTTACCATTTTTATATAACCAACAGAGTATAGGTATATACTTATAATGCTGGAAACTAATTAACATATCACTTTAGGGAAGGAATAAAATAGTTATCCTGGTTCACATCTCTTATCTTGATTCATAGCTCAGATATTTCTATTCCTGGAGCATTACTGCAGCTTTGGTGCTAAGAAAATTGCTGGTGGGTGAAGAATGATTCTGCACTCTCATCCTTCAGTTTTCACACCATTGCCATTAGTCTAACTTTGCTTTCGCGCCACCTACTGTTCAAAGGTCCTCACTACTACAGCTCAACTTCACTAGAAGCAAAATAATACCGGAAACAACAGGTCAGCTGGGCTTCCCAGGGGGCTCAGTAGCAAAGAATCCACCTGCCAGTGAAGCAGATAAAGAAAAACGGATTCAGTCCCTGGGTTGGGAAGATCCCCTGGAGAAGGAAGTGGCTACCCACTCCAGTATCCTTGCCTAGAAAATCCCATGGACAGAGGAACCTGGCAGGCTGCAGTCCATGAGAGCGCAAAAGTCGGACACAATTTGGAAACTAAACAACAACAGGCAAGCTACCTTAAAAACAGTGTGCTTGGAGACAGGCAATGTAATGAATAATTCATCATGGAAGCACAAACAGATTTCTTCAATATATATTTCTTTTTTATCATTGTTGTCTCATTTATTTATTGCATTTAATTCATATTTTTATATATTCTATTTATATGGGCCTACAAGTTATACTTGATATACTCCATATATTGAAATTATGCATGTGTGCTCAGTGGCTCAGATGTGTCCACCTCTTTGCGACCTCATAGACTATAGCCCACCAGGCTCCTCTGTTCATGGAATTACCCAGGCAAGTATATTGGAGTGGGTTGCCATTTCCTTCTCCAGGGAATCTTCTGTACCCAGGGATCAAACCCAAGTCTCTTATGTCTCCTTCACAGGCAGATGGATTCTTTACCATTGAGCTACCGGGGAAGCCCCATTGAGGTTATACTCATTTTATATTATTTTGGTATTCTTTGCTGTGCCTTTCTATAACATTAACAGAAGGGTCACTAACTTTGAAGGCAACACAACCCAACAACCCAGTCATGGATTGGATTGGATTAGAGTGGACTAGACATGAGTGGAATCAAAAGATGGAAACCCTTTTGCAAGGCAACACAACCCAACAACCCAGTCACGGATTGGATTGGAATAGAGTGGACTAGACATGAGTGGAATCAAAAGATGGAAACCCTTTTGCAATAATATTTGTCGCTGCATAGCCTGCCCCAGGTTGTGATTCTGTAATTCTGCTAATGACTGTGCTTTCAAGTTTCTGCTGCTTTCATATCTAGAGAAACACAGAGGGGCTTTGGACTGTATGACATAGACTAATTTACCAGAAAAGGAAAAAAAAAAAAAACACTAGTGTCTTTTATTTTGCTTTACCATTTAAGACTATTTTATGTTTATCTTTTTAAAAAATATTTTGGAAAGTATTTTTAGGAATAAGTGAACTTGAACAGTTTTCAAGATGTCCCAGAAACATGATTTTTATTTTCTTACTAGCCTTTAAGATGTTTTCTATATTGTCTATCAGAAATTTAATAGAAAAAAAATTCATCTCTGTAATTATGAAAAGAATAAAATTGGTTGAAGACAGGTCCTATGAGAACACCCCCATCATTTTAGCATCTGTTAAATGGTTGACAGTATATCCTACCAGCTTCAGCTGGCTCCGATGTTAAAATGGAAAACCTCAGCCCTTGCCCTGTCTAATTCTGAGGGAGATGAAGTCCCATGGTCTTTGAAGATGCTTCCTTCTGCTCAGACTTCATCCTCTGACCTCTGTTCTCCCTTAGCTTGTTGGCAGTTTCCCACTTTGGGCTCTGTTTAGCTGCCTTGCTTTAATCGGAATGGCTTCTTTTATTCTTCATTCTCAGTTCATTCTTACACTCCTTCACGTCTTAGCCTAAGCATCACTTCCTCAGAGGAGCCTCCAACCCCTGAATTAGTCTTTTTTTTGCTATTAGATGGCACCCTGTACTTTTCCTTATTATCATTCATACACTTTGCAATTAGATACTTGTATTATTGACTTTATTTTTCTGGGCTCCAAAATCACTGCAGATGGTGATTGCAGCCGTGAAATCAAGACACTTACTCCTTGGAAGGAAAGTTATGACCAACCTAGACAGAATATTAAAAAGCAGAGACATCACTTTGTCAACAAAGGTCTGTCTAGTCAAGGCCATGGTTTTTCCAGTGGTCACGTATGGATGTGAGAGTTGGACTATCAAGAAAGCTGATTGCCGAAGAATTGATGATTTTCAACTGTGGTGTTGGAGAAGACTCTTGCGAGTCTCTTGGACTGCAGGGAGATCCAACCAGTACATCCTAAAGGAAATCAGTCCTGAATATTCATTGGAAGGACTGATGCTCAAGCTGAAATTCCAATAATTTGGTCACCTGATGCGAAGAGCTGACTCATTTGAAAAGACCCTGATGTTGGGAAAGATTTAGGGCAGGAGGAGAAGGGGATGACAGAGGATGAGATGGTTGGATGGCACCACCAACTCGATGCCCATGGGTTTGGGTGGACTCTGGGAGTCGGTGATGGATAGGGAGGTCTGGCGTGCTGCGGTTCATGGGGTCGCAAAGAGTCAGACACGACTGAGCGACTGAACTGGCTGACTGACTTGTGTTATTGGGGCTTTCCAGGTGGCACTAGCAGGAAAGAACCTACCTGCCAATGCAGGAGACATAAGAGACACAGGTTTGATCCCTGGGTAGGGACGATCCCCTGGAGGAGGACATGGCAACCCACTCCAGTACTCTTGCTGGAGAATCCCATGGACAGAGGAGGCTGGCGGGCTATGATCCTTTGGGTTGTGAAGAGTCGGACACAACTGAAGGGACTTAGACTGCATGCACTTGTGTTATCTACTTTCTGCCTCCTGCCCCCACCAGATTATAAATTAATGATCAGGCTAGAATATTCCTTAGGGTCCTAGCCATTGTGTTTTCTGTCATTTCCATTACAGAATAGATGCGGGGGAAATAGTTGAGGAAATAAAACTGAGAGTCCAAAATTGAGAACTGAGATGCCCATTGTTTCAGTCCATGTAGAACTGTGACGTCAACTCTGCTTCTATGTCACCCTTGGGGCAAGAGGATAGTCACTGAGGCAGGAAGTCCCAGTGCCTAGATCCCAGCTTCTGAAAGACCTTTCCGCGACTCATCACTTCCCGAAGCAGAGTCACGGAGTGGAGCGTTTTTTCCCACAACCTACAGAATCCCTGGTCTTGCTCACCACTCTTCCCACTTCCTGGGAATCAACTGACCTTTCACCCACTCCCTGACCACCACCTCTCCTTCCCATGCTCCTTTTCCCCACCAGCCCCCAAGAAACAAAGCAAAAGGAAACCAAAAAATCCCCAAGACAAACAACTGCCCCTTCCCTTCTCTACTCTCAGCCATCTTCGTAGATTAACAGGGGATACAGAGAGCAAATTATAAACTAATATTTCAGCAGATTATCCTGCTACTCTGGTATTCAGCAGAAAATAAGAATAAATTTTGCACATTACACAAAGGACACGTTGAGTTTTCAGTGCTTATTTTTGTAGCATTTCCCTTTGCTTTCTAAAAGGCTCTAAGGATTCCCAGCTATCTTAGGTTATTAGACAAGCAATCATGCTGAGAACAACCATCTTTAAAATGAGTTCTTCTTAAAAAAAACTTTCATGTGTCTTTAACCAATCACCAGTGTCTTCTAGAGAATAAGAAATGAATTTAAGATCCAGAAGTAATTAATTTCATATTAATTAATATACACATAGGGCTTTCCCAGTGGCTCAGTGGTAAAGAATCTGCCTGCAATACAGGAGATGTGGGAGACAGAGGTTCAGTCTCTGGGTCAGGAAGATCCCCTGGAGTAGGAAATGGCAACCCATGCCAGTATTCTTGCCTGGAAAATTCCATGGACATAGGAGCCTCGTGGGCTTCAGGGGTCGCAAAGAGTTGGAGACAACTGAGCAACTGATCACACACATATGTAGATTGGGCATTTGCGGTATTCTGCATTATCTTTTATTTAAAATCTGGTACATATAGTCTTGTTGTTTTATGAAAGTAATATTCTTGCCTAACATCAGATACACACGAAAGATGAGTGTTTGCGCTTTTGAATATTTTCAAACCACACTGAGGATTCCAAGTCCCTCTAGGTCCCTCTCTCCCACTTGTGGTAGCATCTAATAAGTATTACCTAAGTATGTGCCTCTTGAAAGCTGGATTGACTAATTCAATTGCCAACAGAATACCGAAGTCTGACTCTTAGATGTATATTTGATGAAAAATTAACCAAATAAAAGTATAACGTTCACTCCATAGAAAATCTTCACACTTCTATCTCCACAGCAACACGGATGTACACACAGTGGCATCACTTCTTAAACTGTATCTCCGAGAGCTCCCAGAACCTGTTATTCCTTATGCCAAGTATGAAGACTTTTTGTCTTGTGCCAAACTGCTCAGCAAAGAAGAGGAAGCTGTAAGTCAATGCAGTTATTTCTTAAAATGCTATTATTTAGGGGTTTTGTCAGTGTTCCTAATCTAACCTGTAAATTTTCCTTTGCCCTGTTTTTGGATTGTTTTCCACTATGCTAATGACATTACACACAGATTTTTACACAGTTAGATTTTTACACTTGGGCTTCCCTTGTGACCCAGCTGGTAAAGAATCTACCTGCAATGCAGGATACCTGGGTTCGATCTCTGGGTTGGGAAGATACCCTGGAGAAGGCAAAGGCCACCTACTCCAGTATTCTGGCCTGGACAATTCCATGGACTATATAGTCCATAGGGTCGCAAAGAGTTGGACACGACTGAGCAACCTTCACTTTCACTAACACAGGTCCCATTTGTAATCCTCTCTCTCATCAAAAAGGAAAGTAGAGCTGAATAAAGGAAATCAGCACTCCTTGCCACACTGCCCTCTAAATGCTAAAAATCGGAAGGACTCTCAATATATTAAGGCTATTATTTCCCCCCAAATAACCTAACTATAAATAAGGCTATTTTTCCTTTTCAGTCAGTTGTGAATAAATGTTAAAAATGTTAAATCTGTTTCTCCACAAATAGTACTCACAGAGATATTTGAAATGCTTTCACATCTTTTGAAATATTTCTGAAATGCTCTCTGTGATAGTGGCAAGTTTTCAAGACAGGATCCATCACTGGTAACAGGTGAAACTAACAAGAACAAAACAAAACAAAAAACTGCATGTCCATTTCCCATTTGCTTTCATTCCAAGATCAACATTTAGATAACATGTATTCTCTTCTTTATACTCAGGGTGTTAAAGAATTAGCAAAGCAGGTGAAGAGTTTGCCAGTGGTCAATTACAACCTTCTCAAGTATATTTGCAGGTAAGAATTGTCCTAAAGACAAAATGGAATTTAAAAAGACTGTATTTACACTGACAATAGTTCATTTTGACAATGAATAAAAATCAGTTGGGTTTCCGCGGTGGCTCACTGGTAAAGAATCCGCCTGCCAATGCAGGAGATGCAGGAGACGCAGGTTCGATCCCCGGGTTAGGAAGATCCCGTGGAGGAGGAAATGGCAACCCACTTCAGTATTCTTTTCTGGATAAGCCCATGAACAGAGGAGCCTGACAAGCCGCAGTTCATGGGGTCACAAAGAGTTGGACATGACTTAGTAACTAAAATAACAAAACAACTAAAATAACAAAAATCACTTAACTGCTCTGAGCTCCCCTGTTGGCCTCTGTAAAATTAAGAGGTTTGACAAGGTGATTTCAAAGGTTTCTCTGAGCACTTAAATTGCTTGATTTTGTAATCTGTTGTTTCTGAAGTCTCTCTGATCTCTACATATTAAAGATATGTTGCTTTGAACTTCCATCAAAGTTGCTGGTATGTGTACCACATACCGTGCTCCTTAACAGAAGGAGCCTGCATGAGAATCATTTGTCTAGGAGTCCAGATTCTACCTCTGACTACTTACGTGTTTCTATGCAATTTTCTTCTCCTCTTTGAGACTAAGAGTCCTAATAGATAAAAGGGTAATGAAAACACACATTTGAAATAATTGTTTTAAAAATTAAAGTATATTACACTATTGATACTATGTATAAATAAGTAATGAGAACCTCCTCTGTAACACAGGGAACTGTACTTAATCCTCTGTGGTGACCTAAATGGGCAGGAAATCCAAAACAGAGGGCATATATGTCTATGTATAGCTGATTCACTATGTTATAGAGCAGAAACTAATACAACATTGTAAAGCAACTATACTCCAATAAATACATTTTAAAAAATTGTATATGCATATACATTTATATATATGATGAATGTTAATATACATTATTTTTCCCATTTTTTTCAAGACTTACTGAAAAAAAAATTACAACTCAATTTTGCTAGAACAATAATTGTGCCTCAAAATGCTGTCAATGACCACGTTTAAGACCAGGGATGGCATGTACCATGTCTGTGCTGCTACTTAAGAAATCAAGTATACATGATTGAAACACACTGAATTTACTTTCTAAAATAGTATTGGAGTATAGTTGAAATACATGAAATGTATTAAATTTAAATAAAGAGATTAATGATTAATAAAGGCTTCCCAGGTGGCACAGTGGTAAAAAATCTGCCAAACAACAGGAAGAGCAGGATCAGAAAGATCCCCTGGAGAAGGAGATGGCACTCCACTCCAGTATTCTTGCCTAGAAAATTCCATGGACAGAGAAATCTGACAGGCTACAGCCCACGGGATAGCAAAGAGTTGGACAGTACTGAGTGAGCACACCACACTACTAATTTCATCTATTTCAAATAATAAGTGGTAGTTTGACTTTCTGCCCTTCAGTTTTGCTGTAATTTAGGATGTATAACAGTAGTGAACATGTGAAAATAGGCACCTTTTTAGAAGCTCATGGGATAGTAGTCAACAGCCCAGACTCTAGGTTAAGATCACCTGGGTTCAGGTCTCAGCTCTGCCACTTATTAACTCTGTGTCCTTGGAGAAGTTTCTTAACCTCTCTGGTGCCTCATGTGTCTCATCAGTAAAATGGAGATAATATTTAGTATTTAGATAGTATTTAGCTCACACAGAGATGCTATGAGAATTTAAGTTAGCACAATGGCTGGCACAGAATGAAATACATTATTTTAAATAACACACAAAGTAAATTTTTTTAAAGTATTTTTCTTGCTTCTTTGTCTCATTAGTACAATCAATAAGCCATGAATTAATAGACGCTCTTGTAGTAATGAAGAGGGGATGGGAAATGAACAAAAGCTGAAAGATTACAAAAACAATCTCTGCTACTAAAATCATTCTGGGAAAGGGTATTTTATGCCTCTTATTCTTTAGCACCTAACAAGTTAAAACAGTTTTTGTTTGCAATTTCTCATATCAGTAGAACCGAGGTTTTAATTTAAACCATGTTTGATGTCACTTTTTAATAGACTATAAATTTGAGACTCACAAATTGCCCCAGAAAGGGGATTGATTCCTCTTCTCAGAAATAAGAGATTGTAATAGGCAACCTTATTTTTATAGTTCTCTAATTAGATATGCATATAAATTGGATATTTTATTTAGAGATAGGAAAGAAATTCATATTCTTGAATCTCAAGTCCACAATAGCATTATCCAAACACACTCATTCCTGTGACTGACAGGGGAAACCAAGCCAGGCTAGAGCAGATATTTGATATGATCTCTTATGATTCTGATACTTAAAAATCTGCAATAGATATTCTTCACATTTGGCAGAGAGATGTTTGAATTTCTAAATGACTGTGTGTCCATTATCATCTTTGAACAGACTCCAGTTCATAAATTTCCCGATAACCCATTTTTTTTCCACTGACAAATTTGATCCCATTGTGTTTTGTTCATATTTTTACTCAACAGGTTCTTGGATGAAGTACAGTCCTATTCAGGAATTAACAAAATGAGTGTGCAGAACTTGGCCACTGTCTTTGGCCCTAATATCCTACGTCCCAAAGTGGAAGATCCCTTGACCATTATGGAGGGTAAGTGAATTACTATCATATATTGTCACCAGAAGAACAGTCAGTTGTCTCTTGATTGTCCTGAACCTATTCTCCTGTGAGGAAACAAAGGAAATAAATGAATCCATGGTAATTCCATTTATGGACTCAAGTTCTTCAAATGTAAAATCTTCTGTTTGAGAGCCAGGCATTTTTTGAGGAGTTTACTAAACATAAGTTACTAAACATTTCCTCCATATTTTCATAAGAATTAACAGAACTTGCATAAATCATCTGTAAAATATCACACAAGAACTGGAAATGGCTACTTCACTTTCTGAGTTGGATGCAATTTTCTGAAACCTCAAATAGTTATGCTTCTAAGTTAATATATTTTTATTAGTTCCGGTTTTATTGGACTGACTTCAAGAGGCAGAAAACATGGGCCTCTAAGATAACGCTGCTTATTTACTTTGGGTTGAAACATGAAGAATTTCTTGTTTTCCATATTACAAGATATCTCAAATTATTTATCACAATGAAAGGTTACTTCTATTTATTTTCAGCAGGTCTCCCTGATAGAGTACCATTCTTTCTTGTGGACATTATTAGTAGCACTGATGTGCAGGTCTTGGCGAGCTTTGAGAGTAAGACTAGAGGATGGGAAACTCAAGTAAGCAGCATAAAAGAGAAAACTAGACACAGATATTATTCCAAGATCTGGAGAGGATATCCCTTAAGTCTTTACCTAAAAATTGATTTATGCTTGCAGGAAGGGACTCTGTGCTACTTTCCGGGGAAGAGTGCTGGAGATCAGTAGTCTGAGGCATTCCTGGGCCTCACACCAAGCTTGAAATAACTGTATTTCCCACAACCAGAGTAGAAAATCCTGACATCAAGGCATTGCATACAGTCCTCAGGAGGGTCTTACCTTGGTGATAAGGCTAAAAGTTATGGACCAAGTTCTACAAAGCTTTTAAAAGAAATCCTAATGATTCAATAGAGGTTTGAGGAAGAAAAGAAGGAGGAATAGTTGGAGCACAAAGGATTTTCAGGGCCATAAAACTATTCCATGTGATACTGTAATAGTGGATATATGACACTGTGCATGTGTCAAAACCCAGATCACACAGAGAGTGATTTTAATATAAACTATGCATACATGCATGCTAAGTCGCTTCAGTTGTGTCTGACTCTTTGCAACCCTACGGACTGCAGCCTGCCAGGTTCCTCTGTCCAGGGGATTCTCCAGGCAAGAATACTGGAGTGGGTTGCCATGCCTTCCTCCAGGGGATCTTCCTGACCCAGGGATTGAAACTGCATCTTGTACAGCTCTTGCATTGTAGGCAGATTCTTTACTGCTGAACCACCTGGGAAGCCCAATATAAACTATAGACCTTAGTTAATAATCATAATGTATCAATATTGGTTCATCAATGGAAACTAAAACTGGGCTTCCCTCAGATGGCAAAGGATCTGCCAGCAATGCAAGAGACCTGGGTTTGATCCCTGGGTCAGGAAGATCCCCTGGAGAAGGGAATGGCTACCCACTCCAGTATTTTTGCCTGGAGAATTCCATGGTGGGCTACAGTCGATGGAGTCCCAAAGAGTCAGACACAACTGAGCGACTAAGGCACACTCAACAATAAAAAGGATGAACTACTGATACATGAATAACAATATGGGAAAATGACAAAAGCATTATGCCAAGTGATAATGCCTAGACACAAAAGACCTCATACTCTATAATTGTGTTTATATGAAATTCTAGAAAAGAAGAGAAGTATAGTGACAGAAAGCAGATCAGTGGTTGCCATGGGTAGGGGATTGGCTACAAAAGGACACAAGGGAATTATCTATAAAATGGTTAGGTAGTGCTTCCAGGACTGTCATTTGTCAAAATTTATCATATACCTCACAGATATCTTGTACGTGTACTGAAGGATACAAAGCAATTCATTGCAAAAAATACAAATTGAAACTATATTTTATAGAATGCTGTGTGTGTGTGTGTGTGTGTGTGTGTATTTGTTTAGTCATTCAGTCGTGTCCAATTCTTTGTGACCACATGGACTATAGATGGTCAGGCTCCTCTGTCCACGGGATTCTCCAGGCAAGAATGCTGGAGTGGATTGCCATACCCTTCTCTGGGGGATCTTCCCAACCCAGGGATCAACCCCAGGTCTCCCGCATATATATTAAAGTGCCTAGTTACCTTCAAAGGAAAACTGAATTCTTTTCCAGTTATTATGAAGATACAAGTGCTCATAATATGGTATTTAAATTCAACCTATATAAAAGTATATGAGCCTGGGGGAATTGTTGAAACATGCAGTCCAGTGGGACTCCCAAATCTTCATGGATTCTTCAGATTGGCCTGGTAATCATGACCACTCTGGACTCACTATTTGGGCTTCATGTTTGTTATTAGCATTCTAAGGAAGAGAATGACAGAGAGAAGGGAAATAAAAGGAAAAAAGAAACACAGTGCATATAATGGCACACACATCATCATTACTACCAGCCTAGTCTGTCCTAAATGGCTATAAAAATTGACAAGAAGTCCCTTTACAAGAAATGATTGTCATTTACTATTCTGGAAGCTAGATGAAAGCAAAGCCTCCAAAGTAAAAGCAAGACATTTCTAAATCTCCAGGGCTCTGACACTATAATTGTGGCAGTATACACTGGCATGGGTTTCCCAGGTGGCGCTAGTGGTAAAGAACCTGCTTGCCACTGTAGGAGACATAAGAGACACAGGTTCCATTCCTCAGTTGAGAAGATCCCCTGGAAGAGGGTATCGCAACCCACTCCAGTATTCTTGCCTGGAGAATCCCATGGACAGAGGAGGCTGATGGGTCACAAAGAGCTGGACATGACTGAAGCGACTTATCATGGACACACACACATCCATTGGCATGGCTGTTCACATACTCATCATGGAGACCTTGGGAATGTCTGTCTTCAATTAATTAAATCCCCATACAATTTACAACTATGATTAACAATGCAGTGATATTTCAAATCTTAATATTCCTGTGATGGGGAAAAGCTTTATTTTCCGAAAGGTCTAGACAGAGTCATATATAACAGAAGCTGCTAACATTTGAAAGTATGTCTGTCAGATGGGCAAACAGCACATGAAGTACTCATGTCTTCAAACACAGTACATGAAGGTGTCAGCACTGACAATCATTTTAAAGATGCTGAAATCTTTCCTTCAGATTCACTGCTACATGCACTGAAAATAGGATGACACATTCAGAGTTTACTAAAAGAGAACTCTAAGATACATATATAATACCATTAATTTCATTCAGTCTTTTTTCTTACACAATTCCATCATAATTGATGATGACTCAGTAGATAGTTGTCTTTTATTTAGTTTCTTATTTAGAACAACACCAAGTTTACTTATTATTACTACAGTTTTAACTCCAACAGGTGAAATACAGTAAGACAAATACAGGATTTGGAATGAGAAGATGAAGTATCACATTTCACTCTAGTCTCTTATCATCTATGTGGCCTTGGGCAAAATCATCACCACTCCGAACCTCAATTTTCTCATTTGAAAAACATTAAGTCTTATCTCAGAGCCTTGCACGTATGCTAAGTCACTTCAGTCATGTCTGACTCTTTGCAAACCTATGGACTGTGGCCTGCCAGGCTCCTCTGTCCATGGGATTCTCCAGGCAGGAATACTGGAGTGGATTGCCATGCCTTCCTCCAGGGGATCTTCCCAACCCAGGGATCAAACCCACATCTCTTATGTCTCTGCAGTGGGAGCAGTTTCTTTATGACTAGTGCCACCTAGGAAGCCATCTCAAAGCCTTATGAGAATATTTATTTAGAAGATGTTTAAATGAAACACTTCCACATAACTCTAACAGACATTGAGGAAACATTTCCTCAAACTCTAACACACACAAGAACCACCTAGGGATATTGCTGACATGCAAATTCTGATTCAGAAGGTCTATGTGTGGACCACTAGACAATACCAGGGCTAGAAATCTGTTATCACTGTTGTCTTATCATCTGGGGGTTGGTTAGAAATGTAAAATCTCATGCCCTACTCAATATCTACATTTCAACACAATCTCCAGATAATTTGTATGAACATTTATTTCTGAGCAGCACTGGCCAGCATCAGACCTCACACATTGCTGATTCCTGATCTAAATATGTTAGAAGTTTTGAATCATGACAGAAGTGTGCAGGATATAGATGGATATAACATTTCTTCCTATTCAGAATTTGAGTTAGGCCAGTAAGTCTCCCATTCTTTACCAAGGGGCCCCATGTGCTTGTTGGGGCAGACTTTTGACACTCAGCCAGGCAGTTGACAACTTTGCTTTAGCATTCTGGTCCTGCTTGTGCAGAGCTCCAAGATCAGCTGGAGATGAGACCTTGGGGACTTCTCAGTTCTTTCCTGAGTGTGCACACAGCCCTAGGTATACACAGAACCCTATGCATACATGTATATAATCTTAGAAATCTTCAAGTATATAGCAGAGCTTTTCAACACCTCCTATGGAAATCTCTTCAGATTTTCCTTCTAAGCTTTTTGTTTAGCCTGTTGTCTTGTCTTCAACAGTTATCCACTTGCTTCAGGCAAACATGATTTTAAATGAAAAAGCCCCTAATTGTTGTTGACAAATGCCCCTGAGAAATGTCGCTCATTCTAGTCAATTCCTTAGTCAGATAAAATGAAGACAAGCCTCTTGAGTGGGGTCTTCCAGGGAACCACCAAACAAGTCAAATGACAATTCTTTGGGAAGGGGGCTTTGAAGGAGTTCCAAACCAGCTTTTTCCATTCCAGTGGCTGCCTCACTTCTGGTTCCCACTAAGATTGAGGGTTGTTGGTTTTCAAAGCTACTGCAGAAAGGAGGATGGGAATAGGGTGAGTTAAAACACCACAGAGCTTGCTGTTCTTTACCAAGTCAACGAGTTCTAAAAAATTAACACTCTTCAGATTATAGCAAGCCTTTCGTTAATTTCCAAATTTCTGAATATATTGACTGGGAACATTTTTGTCAGTTATTTTATGGAAGAGAGGATTCTCATATGTCTTTATTACACCATTTTGGCTAATGTCACTTAAAATGCCCTGAAACTTTTGAATGCTGGGCAAGAGTTGTATGGAACTTCATTGACTTGCTATATTATGAAGACAGACCACATACCCACTAGAGATTGTAGAAGGTTCCACTTCAAGGTGCCATTAAAATGTCTTGATATTTTGAGGCAATTAGATGAGAGATCATAGTGACTTCTTTTAAGAAAGATTTTTCATAATTAAATGTCAAACTTACAAGAAATGGTGTGTGCCAATTAAGAGCCTGTTCTTTGGAACTAGTTAATTCTGGTTTTAACCTCTTCTTTTTCTCCTTCATAGCTTGGGACATTGGTCAAGTTACTTAACCTTTATTAGATAGTGATAATAACAGTTCTATTTATAAATTTTAAAAAGATCCAACTAAACTAACAAAAGTATAGTGCCTAGTACAGTTCATGTTAAATATTCAAGAAGTTTTTAGACACAATTGCTATTGTCCCCCTAACCTGGAGAAGGAAATGGCAACCCACTCCAGCATTCTTGCCTGGAAAATCCATGGACAGAGGAGACTGGTGGACTGTAGTCCATTGGGTCACAAAAGAGTTGGACACTACTTAGTGACCAAACAACAATAATTGCTATTGTCATCATTAAAAACATAGTTTGGCACTGCTAATAATAATGCTGAATGTGCACCTAAATATGGCTCTTTAAAAGTCACTTTCAAAATAGAAGATAAATCAAAACTGCTTTGCTCATACTCGTTTGCTTTCTTTGCAATTCCAGGCACTGTGGTGGTCCAACAACTGATGTCAGTAATGATTGGCAAACATGATCGCCTCTTCCCCAAAGATGCAGAGCTGCAAAGCAAGCCCCAGGATGGAGTGAGCAACAACAACAATGACCTTCAGAAGAAAGCCCTCATGGGGCAGCTACAGAACAAGGAGAACAATAATACCAAGGACAGTCCCGTAAGGCGGTGCTCTTGGGACAAGCCTGAGTCTCCCCAAAGAAGCAGCATGGATAATGGATCCCCCACAGCTCTGCCAGGCAGCAAAACCAACAGCCCCAGGAATAGCATCCACAAGCTGGATGTCTCCAGAAGCCCCCCTCTCATGGTCAAAAAGAATCCCGCCTTCAACAAGGGCAGTGGGATTGTCACCAACGGGTCCTTCAGCAGTAGTAATGCTGAAGCACTCGAGAAAGCCCAGACCACTCCCAATGGGAGCTTACAGGCCAGAAGGACCTCTTCCCTGAAGGGGTCTGGTACCAGAATGGGCACCCACAGCGTGCAGAACGGAACCGTGCGCCTGGGCATCGTGAACTCTGACACCCTGGGGAACGCCGGGAATGGCCGCAGCATGAGCTGGCTGCCCAATGGCTACGTGACCCTGAGGGAGAATAAGCAGAAAGAGCAAGCAGGAGAGTCGGGCCAGCACCACAGGCTCTCCACCTACGATAACGTCCACCAGCAGTTCTCCGCCATGAGCCTCGACGACAAGCAGAGCGTCGACAGCGCCACCTGGTCCACTTCCTCCTGCGAGATCTCCCTGCCCGAGAACTCCACCTCCTGCCGCTCCTCCACCACCACCTGCCCGGAGCAAGACTTTTACGGTGGGAACTTTGAGGACCCCGTGTTGGATGGGCCCCCGCAGGACGACCTCTCCCACCCCGGGGACTATGAAAACAAAAGCGACCGCAGGAGTGTGGGCGGCCGCAGCAGTCGGGCCACCAGCAGCAGCGACAACAGTGAGACCTTCGTTAGCAACACCACCAGCAACCACAGCGCCCTGCATAGCTTAGTGTCCAGCCTCAAACAGGAAATGACCAAACAGAAGATAGAGTATGAGTCCAGGATAAAGAGGTGAGGAAAACCTGGAGCCCCTAGTGGCCAGAGAGGGTGCGACAGCCTCCTGGGAGACAGGCTCACCCGGAAGGGTTAAACCCGCCAACTCCAGCCAGAGACCTGGGTTCAGGCCCTACCTTCGCCATTTATAAGCTGTGGGACACTGGGAAAACTCCCTTCCTCTCTGTGAGTCTCAGCTTCCCAATGTGAAAATTTTAAAATTCTAGTAGTAAATTCTACCTCAAGGTGAAAATTGCTCAGATGTGTCCAACTCTTTGTGACCCCATGGACTGTATGTAGCCTGCCAGGCTCCTCTGTTCATGGGGATTCTCCAGGCAAGAATACTGAAGTGGGTTGCCATTTACTTCTCCAGGGGATCTTCCCAACCCAGGGATCCAACCTGGGTCTCCTGCGTTGCAGACACATTCTTCACCAACCTCAAAAGCATGTTAAGAAATCATTACACATTGTCCCCAGGACAGAGCAGATGCTCAGTAATTCTACCTTTTGTTATTAGTAAAAGCATTGATTTAGGTTCAAAAGCTGGGGAAAGGAGTGGGAAGGGATGTCTGGAGTACCAGGAGTCTGTTATCACAGGAAGAGGATGAAATGAGAGTAAAGAAAAATTGGAAAATAAACAGATATTTGTTGTTCATTATTTCCATGGTTGGATGCTTGGGTTGAATGCTTGTCTGCTGTCTCCCAGGCTCAGACCAGGCCACAAGGATTCAGCAGTGAGTAAAGAAGACAAAAATTCAGCCCTTGTGGAACAGGCTTACAGTCCCCTGGAAGAGATAAATAAATAAGTAAACTGATCCTATGCTAAGTAGAAGACTGGAGCAGGGAAGAGGGGTGAGAAGTGTTGCTGAGGGTTATTCTAAGTGTAGGGCTCTATAGGAGACAGTGATGCAGAGACCCAGCAGAAGAAGTGGAAATGCCCTGAGGCTGGATAGGCGAGGAGCTCAGAGAGGTACCATAGAACCTTCGAGATCATCTTAATCTTTGGCTTGTACTCTGAGATTGGAATCCAGGGAAGTTTGTGAGGAAAGTGATAGCATGAAGTATATTCGTATAGACAAGGAAACTTTTAGCCTAAATGGGGAGCAAAAAATATGACTTATAAGCAAACCATTGTGCTGAAACCTAAGTGATACCAGTTGACATCTTCTCATAAAATATCCAAGAGAGGAGTTGGCTTAGCAACTTCAAGGAGGTAACCTGGCAAATATAATGGGTATAGGCTAAGGATCCTGCCTTGACAATGCCCCTGACTGTCAGATGCTCCAAGGTCTTGAGAGGCAGCAATACAGAAAATGGAGCCGCTGCCCCACAAGTACAGCCTTGTGCTGGAAACCTGAATATCACCACACTCCGCAATTTCACCAGGGTTACAGAAATTACTAAACTGATTGTTTTTCTGTTCACCTTTCAGTGTGGTATAGGGGAAGGACCCTGCACTCTTAAAAGCAGGTCTGAGGCTCAGTTCAGCCTGAAGTAGCCCCTCTAGGGGCCTCAGCCCCAGTCCCAGGCTGTGCCTTGGTAGACCCCTTCCTGTTCTAAGACCCTCATGGTATGTGAACGTCTTTGTCCTGTTCAGCTGCTTCCATGGCCCTTAACCCCACATGGTTCTTTTCTTTATATATAAAGTTGACCTTCATGTATTTTAATGTTTCCCATCCATTTATCAATTATCAAGCCAAAAGATACATATTTTTAAGAGGTATGGAAAAATAAATAAAAATACTTACATGTTAGATTGAAAAATTACTTTATTGGAAACAGAAGCTTGGTTTGAATTTTTCTAAATAATGCCAAGTGACAGGAGACTTAAATAAGAAGAAAAAATAAAGTTATCATCTCATAAGGCTACTTTTTTTTTTAATGTAGTTTATGGAAACAATGGCTACCAAATTCTGAACTGCTGCCAATGCATGATGGTAAATTAGCACTTAGCAGTGGAAAGCAAGAGATGACACTTGAAACCTCCATTAAGATAGAACATGCGTTATTCTGAACAGTTGCAAATGTACACATTCATTTATAACATTGATGTTACTTTATTTTCTGAGTCTATGGTACATTTCAGAGACTTTGATAAAATAAAAGAACCTTTCAACAGAATGTCATCTCATTGGCCTCTTTCATTGGCATTTTTACCCACTTGACAAGCAAGGAAAGAGGTTCATTATAAAACGGGTAGTGGAACTGCCATATGACCAAGCCAAGCAGTATAAGAAGTAATTGTTCTAGATAATTATTGATCATTACTGTTTAAAATTATATATTTCTTTTTCAATTCCTTTTTAACTCTACAAGTATTGAGGCTAGATAGATAGATGATAGATATGTATGTACATTTATACATATATCCCTAGATAGAGCATGGAGAAATAAATAGATATTACTTTATTTATCAATCATTGATATATATGATTTTTAGTTTTTAAACAGGTAAGTTTAATGCTCTTCCCTCCCTCAAATTAGTTTCTACCTTTATCATACTGTAGTCAGATAAATTTATTTACATGATGTCAGTTATTTGGTCTGGTAAGAAGTATTATGTTATTATTGGTTTGAGATTTATATATGATCAATAGATCAAATCTGTTAATCAGGCTATTCAAATATTTTGCATTTCTCCTAACTTTTATTAGATCTATAATTTCTAAAAATGTTATCTTAAAATTCCCTAATTTTTGTGGATTTATCTATTTATATTTATAATTTTGTTATATTTTATATTGAGTAACTTGAGGCTATATAACTAGATGAATAAAAGTTCAGAATTGTCTATATCTCCCTAATTAATTGATCCTTTTATCACAAAATAGTGGTAATAATGCTTTTTGCCCACAAATAGTTTTCTGATATTAACATTCCTATATAATTTCTATTTTGATTAGTAACTCCTTGCTATATATTTTCCATCATTTCAAGTTTTGTGTTTCATTATTTGAAGACATGTTTTTTCAGTTTACATTTATCCACCTCCTCTTTTGCTTATTTCATCTCCCCCATTTTCTCAATTTTCTCTCTATAACCATTACTACAGTGTGTTGAACCTTCTTAGTTCATCCTCCCTCTCCATCTTTGTTAATTTCTCTTTCTTATATTAAATTTTCATCTTTTTTCATTCCATGAGGCATTTGGGTAGTTTTTCTCAAAGCTGTTTTCTCATTTATTTATTTCCTCTTCTGATTCAACTCTGTCACTTCACTCAGCCCACAGGTAGAATTTTTGTAGTCTCTTTGCCATAAAGACGATTGATGTTCCAAGCTCTCAAGTCACTTTCAGCCTTCTGTCTCTCTCATACTAGAGATCTCCTCTTCCCCATGTGAAAAGTAAAAACCTAGTCACAGCTTCTACGGCTTCTATCCGAGACAAATACCCATCCTGTGCTTTCACTTGCTGTTCTAAATTTCTTTCTTCCTTGGTTCTGATACCTGAAGATGCTCTTTTATTTTTTTAACTTTGTAGCTTAAACATATTTTCCTAACATATTTTTGAAACGTTAGTCTGTGCTTGCAATGGGAGGGGTTTCTTCTGTTTTTAACTTAGCCATCAGATTCCAGGAAGTTTCATACAGGTGCCTGATATGTACAAATGCATTAGTATATTTTTAAAGGATAGTCTTCCTTGGTATTAAAGGTTGAGTTTCTTCCAACTATTTTAGTTCTAAAACAAATAGCTTTACAAAGCAGAGAGAATATATTGGGAAATAGTTCTGGGTGAGAAACAGCACACTACCAGGTTTTTATGTAAAACATGTGATCATGTGATCAAAATGGCCTTCTAAACTAATTAAAGAATGCGATTTTTTTTTTTAAATCTTAGTTGCTTACTAGGGGAGAGCAGATTCATCTTTAAGTGTTTTTATGATTATCTGAATGAAATAACATATGGGACTCATTATTTCAGAGCAGAAAAATAGTTGAGATTTTAATTTGAAGATTATTAGAATAATCAGATTTTTGAGTGCTAACTGTGCATCAGCCTCTCACATTTCAGTAGCATTGCAAATTCAAGCATACCCTTGCCACTTCCACTCGTAATAGGAGAAATTAAGATGCCAGCTATTACCACAACACATCATCTAATAAAGAAGTGCTTAATGTTCCTCCTTGAACAGCAGCAGTAATAAATTGTGTTTTGGAAGCTAGTGATTATGAAGAAAACTCTAATTTTTAGGAAATTATCTAAAATTATATAGCCATCTAAAAGAATACAGCTATCAATTTATAAAATGCAGCAAGTCCCCTACATGCTGCTGCTGCTGCTGCTTAATCGCTTCAGTCATGTCCAACTCTTGTTCGACCCTATGTACTGTAGACCGCCAGGCTCCTCTGTCCATGGGATTCTCCAGGCAAGAATACTGGAGTGGGTTGCCATTTACTTCTCCAGGGGATCTTCCCAACACAGGGATTGCACCTGGGTCTCCTGCATTGCAGGTGGATTCTTTATCTCTGAGCCACCAGGGAAGCCCAAGTCCCCTACATAGGAAACTTCCAGTTGTAAACTTTAAAAGATGCAGATGTGCATCCCATTCATGTCAGGTGTGAGTAAAACTGCAGCTTGCCCTCTGTCTCCTATTGCTGGTGACCCTTCAGCCCTACCATCTTCTACCTCCTCTCCCTCCGCCAGTCAGTAATTCTTCTTGCCTGTTTACTTGATACCAGACAGCTGTTGACTGTATTACTGTACTTTTCAAGGTACTATACTGTAAGATTAAAAATGTTTTCTTTTTTTTATTTTTAATATATTATTTCTGTGAAAAGTATGATAAACCAATTATAGTACAGTGCTATATACCCAATTGTGTTAGTTGGCTACCTCGGCTAACTTTGTTTCTTGGACTTACAAGCAAATTGGATTTACAAATGTGTTTTCGGAACAGAACTCATTTTTATGTAGGGAACTTACGGTATAGTGATCTTAAGATATGTTAACTTGGAAGACAGAATTGCAGCTAGCAGGCTACATAAGTGGACTGTGTTGTCACAAAATGTCAGGTGAATTACTTATTAAACACATGTAAGTTCTACTTCTCCTGTTAATGTAAGGTGGCTACTTTTGGTACCAATTTTATAAGAGGGATGCTATATAGTCCCTTCTAAGTCCATTCTTAGCAGTGGACTTACTCTCTCTAGCAGTGACATTTTCACTGTCATTCTTATTCCTTTGGTAGAGAGCAAATATGATGGCCTCTTTTCTTTCCAACTTGATCAGACTTTCCTCTTTCTTTTAGTGAGGACAAATTTACATTTAATGATTCAGGAAGCTTTGTAGTTAGGGCTGCCTCCTGCTTCTGCCAAATTCTGTGCTGCATGATGACCCTGGTCTCTGGCTTCTTTGTGCTGAAATTCACTCATTCACTATTAAATGACAATGAAGTACTTCCAAGAGAGGTCTTGGGGTCTTGCAGAAATGATAGTAAATCATGTCACGAACTAGTAAAAAAAAAAAAAAAGAAGAAAATATATGTATGTATGTATGTATCAATCAGTGGACCTTGATTCACTGATTTGAAAGGGCTCATTCCAGCTTCCAAAGCATTTCAGAGACAGAGTTTAGGAAATACTTTTTAATCTTTTTTGCATTTCAAAAAATAAAATTACTTTATCTCTTATTCCTTCCCCGACCCTGTGCAGCTTAGAACAGCGAAACTTGACTTTGGAAACAGAAATGATGAGCCTCCACGATGAACTGGATCAAGAAAGGAAAAAGTTCACAATGATAGAAATCAAAATGCGAAATGCTGAACGGGCAAAAGAAGATGCAGAGAAAAGAAATGACATGCTTCAGAAAGAGATGGAGCAGTTTTTTTCCACATTTGGGGAGCTGACAGTGGAACCCAGGAGAACCGAGAGAGGAAACACGATATGGATCCAGTGAGGGGACTCTCCCCCGCTGTCTCGAGTGGCCCTGGGAAGGACTCTGGGGATTCTGGTGGGAAGATTATATGGGACCAGGTGGCTGGTCACCTGGCTGTACAGAGCTCTAGCTGGGGAAGGCATATCATTTATAGACATTACCCACCCATATCTGCAATGTGTACCAAAGTTGTATCATGTCCCATAATGCTACTGTTAAGTGTTACAACTGGATATGTGTATATAGAGTAGTTTTTAAAAAGTAAACTAAAAATAAGAAGCATATCTCAAGAATTATTTTATTGCCAGTCTTGTATTTAAAATGTTAAATCAGTATGTCATTGCAATTTAGCTTGCTTTCAAGCTTCACCCCTTGCACTTAACATAAGCTATTTTTGGCATTGTGTTATCATCAGCTTATTTTATAGATCAATATTTTTATTTCCCCTTTTGCTGAGGAAATGAAGATAAGCAGATATATAAATATATAAAAATATATGAGATGAGTTATTAAAATCGTAAGAATACTTTGTGGCTGTGCTGTTTGTGCCAGTAGACCTTGCCGTGACCAAAAAGAGAAATGACAATAATTTTATAAAATACAATGGAATTCCCAGGAAACTTTAAATCACTCTATGAATTCTGCCCTTGATACTGCTCAGTTTTCTTGGGGAGATGGTTTGACACAAGAAATTTTAGATTATGTAAAAAAGTCTCCTTCTCAAGTCCCCTAGTCTGTCTTGCCCATGCCATAGACGCATGTCTCCTATGCAGGATGTGCTTTAGAGGGGGAAGACATCATTTTTAAAAAAGAGCATTTAAGTAGTCATGCTTTGCATTACTCTTTCTGCTGGATGATTATGAGAGAAAATTCTTCCTGCCATTGGGAATTTGAGAAACATTGTTTGCTAATTATGGTGTCCACGTTGAGCACCTGTCCTCGACTCCACCCCCACCCCCATACCAACTTCCCCCTGCCCTGAACTGCCCTTTGGAAATGCAAACAGTGAAATAGTATTACCTTATTTCTCTCAGTTAAACTGCTGGAGTGCGTGCCTTATATTCTTCTTTTGCTCAGGCTGACTGTTCTGTTGTCATCTAGGATCCTTTTGAACAACAGCTAGCAAAGGTAGTTTGAAGCCAGATGGAGGTGATGGAGGGAAAAGGGACCAGGAGAAGGAGGAGACAGGTTGGAAGCAGCTATCTGGCTTCTAATTTGTTTTTTTACAATATAGTCCTTCCCTATTAAAACATATTTATTCACAATAATTTTGAAATGTGAATCTTTAAAAGTCCAATGTTGATAAATTTGTGAACATTACTAATGATAACTTTCCAGACTCTCTAGAACTCTCTGGAGCTGGAGATTGGAGAGAACAATTCCTAACAATTTAATAAGGCAATGATTTTGAGAAGCAAAGCAAATAAAACTTTCTCAGACTAGAACAGACAGTCACAAAAGGCATAATTAGAAATAAATACTATTTGAGTTTATGGGATTTGCATTGTTTGGAGGTTCTCTGTGCGTATTTATTTTCAAGGGGACAGTAAACTTTACAACCTCTGCTCTTGTCACTGTGCCGCCTTTGTTTATATACTTACACTCAGCAAGCTTTTGTGGTCCTTTGGTATCAACCACCGTCTCTGTAGCAATACTTCCTTTACCTGTAGTTCCCTTTTCTCTCTCTTTTCAATTCTTTAGCAAGATATTCCTACCTGGATATCCTATAAAAAATTCAAATGCAAAATGTGCAAAAATGATCTCTTACCTTTTCATCTTTTCCCAAGTCCCTGCCTTGGTTAGCAAAAACCACAGACTCTTACAGGAAGCTGTATTATACAAGAGTAAAGACTATGCAAACAGCCCGTGTTCAAATTTTTTCCAATTTTCCAGTTGATACTAAATCTTCTGTGCATCTCTTTTTTCCTCTGTAGAATGGGTGGGCATAATAAAAATACTGCTCTCATAGACTTATGTGGTTTCAGCAAGGTAGCTTATATCAGGCTGAGCACAGTACCTAGTATACAGGAAGGACTCCATCAATGTTAACTGGAATTTATCTCTACTATACCCTCTCTTCATGTTTACATTCACTCACCAAGTACTGTCTAGTCCACCCATCCTTGCCTTTTTCATCTGCTCTCTTTGATTAATTTCTGCCCATCTCTTGATGAAAACATCTAACCCAGTCCCTTGTGTTCTGGTATTACATTTGCAGACTTCTCTTTCTAAGTCATCCTTCTGACCATTGTAGCCTTTTTAATAACAGTCAAATGCCCCTCACAGAGTATGTATGACTCTAACCTGCAGTTTCATTCTCAGATGCCACTTCCCCCCATACCTGCAATGCTATCTCATGCACCTGGAACTTTCCACCTTCTTTTTCTTTAAGATTCTTTTTTTTATGGACCATTTTTAAAGTCTTTATTGAGGTTTTACAATATTGTTTCTGTTTTGGTTTTGGTTTTTTGGCCATAAGGCAGATGGGATCTTAGACTCCTCACCAAGGCTCGAACCTGCTCCCCCTGCATTGAAAGGCAAAGTCTTAACACTGGACCACCCACAAAGTCCATCCACCTTCTATCATTGTGCCCATCGTGACTGCCACCCTTCTATCTGGCACACATCAACCATGTGTTTTTTCATTTTTGTTTTTTTGTGGGGTTTTTTTTGCCAAATCAAATGTCAGTTCAGTTCAGTTCAGTCTCTCAGTTGTGTCCCACCCTTTGTGACCCCATGGACTGCAGCACACCAAGCCTCCCTGTCCATCACCAACTCCCGGTGTTTACTCAAATTCATGTCTACTGAGTTGGTGATGCCATCCAACCATCTCATCCTCTGTCATCCTCCTCTCTTCCTGTCTTCAAACTTTCCCAGCATCAGGATCTTTTCAAATGAGTCAGTTCGTCAGATCAGGTGGCCAAAGTATTGGAGTTTCAGCTTTAGCATCCATCCTTCTAATGAATATTCAGGACTGATTTCCTTTCTGATGGACTGGTTTGATCTCCTTACAGTCCAAGGGACTCTCAAGAGTCTTCTCCAACAGCACAGTTCAAAAGAATCAGTTCTTTGGCACTCAGCTCTTTTTATGGTCTAACTCAAACATCCGTACATGACATAGCCTTGACTAGACAGACCTTTGTTGACAAAGTAATGTCTCTGCTTTTTAATATGCTATCTAGGTTGGTCATAACTTTTCTTCCAAGGAGTAATTGTCTTTTAATTTCATGGCTGCAGTCACAATCTGCAGTGATTTTGGAACCTCCCAAAATAAAGTCTGCCACTGTTTCCCCATCTATTTGCCATGAAGTGATGGGACCGGATGCCATGATCTTAGTTTTCTGAATGTTGAGTTTTAAGCCAACTTTTTCACTCTCCCTGTTGACTTTCATCAAGAGGCTCTTTAGTTCTTCTTCACTTTCTACCATAAGGGTGGTGTCATCTGCATATCTGAGGTTATTGATATTTCTCCTGGCAATCTTGATTCCAGCTTGTGCTTCATCCAGCCCAGCATTTCTCATCAAATGTCAGCTCCCCTCTAAAGCTTCCTAAGATCTCAATGCAGGGTTAGTTATCTTTGCGCTCCCAATTTGTATATATCTCTTTTACCCTTTTCCATCTCTGATTGTTTTCTTCACAAAGTTAAAAAGCACTTAAGGAAGCAGCGAAGTGGAATGGTAATTGCAGGAAACTGAGAACCAGACAAAAGTAAACATTAACAGTTAGAACCAAACATGGAACTATGTACTGGTTGGAAATTGGGAAAGGAGTACTTCAAGTCTGTATATTGTTTGTCACCCTGCTTATTTAACTTATATGCAGAGTACATCATGCGAAATGCTGAATGAAGCACAAGCTGAAATCAAGATTGCTGGGAGAAATATCACTAACCTCATATAAGCAGATGACACCACCCTTATGGCAGAAAGCAAAGGGAAACAAAAGAGCCTCTTGATGAAGGTGAAAGAGGAGAATGAAAAAGCTGGCTTAAAACTCAATATTCCAAAAATGAAGGTCATGGCATCTGGTCCCATCACTTCATGGCAAATAGATGGGAAAACAATGGAGACTGGGCTGTTTCCTTGGCCTCCAAAATCATTGCAGATGGTGACTGCAGTCATGAAATTAAAAGATGCCTGTTCCTTGGAAGAAAAGCTGTGACCAAATTAGACAGCATATTAAAAAGCAGAGACATTACTTTGCCAAAAAAAGTCCCTCTAGTCAAAGCTATGGTTTTTCCAGTAGTCATGTATGGATGGAAGAGTTGGACCATAAAGAGAGCTGAGCACCAAAGAATTGATGCTTTTGAATGGTGGTGTTGGAGCAGACTCTTGTGAGTCCCTTGGACTGCAAGGAGATCCAACAAGTCCATCCTAAAAGAAATCAGTCCTCGATATTCATTGGAGGGACTGATGATGAAGCTGAAGCTCCAATACTTTGGCCACCTGACGCAAAGAACTGACTCTTTAGAAAAGACCCTGATGCTGGGAAAGGTTGAAATCAGGAGAAGGGGACGGCAGAGGATGAGATGGTTGGATGGCATCATTGACTCTATGAACATGAGTTTGAGCAAGCTCCAGGAGTTGGTGATGAACAAGGAAGCCTGGTGAGCTCCAGTCCATGGGGTTGCAAAGAGGCAGATGTGACTGAGCAACTGAACTGAACTGGACTGACTATGCCTTAGGCAAGATGCAAAATAATGAAAAGTCATTTAACCTTTGAGCCTTAGTTTTTTCATCTATAAAGTGGAGACAATAACTCTCTTACTTTGAGGTGATGTGCCCTGTGCCTACCCAAGTGCCTGCCACATACCTTGATTGATAGCTCTATTGATAAATGGAATTTCTTAAGGCAGCAGAAAGATATCTTATTGATTTTAAGTGCCTCTCCCTCCATCGTCACTGGACTTCCCAGGTGACACAATGGTAAAGAATTCTGCCTGCCAATGCAGAAGATGCAAGAGATGTAGATTTGATCCCTGGGTTGGGACGATCCCCTAGAGTAGGAAATGGCAAACCACT